ACGTGTGAGGGTCTTTTTGCTCCACAACAGCGAGTAGCTCCGTCACTTTTCTCTCCATCGTTGTAAACAGGTTACAGTTGAAAATTCTTTCGTGATCTTGCGTGTCGAACTTGTGATGCGCCCTCATAAATCGCACGATATAGAACAATTGATCTTCGTTTCGAATCATCTCTGGGAATCGAATCAAAAACTCGTCCAGGCCTTCTCGAGAAATTTTACGGTATTTTTCGGTGCGTTTCGACGTTCCTGGACTTAACTGGTTTTCGTCGTGGAGGAATCGTTCGCACTCCTCCAGGTTGAAGTGATTCGGCATGGCTGAACACGATTGTCTTCACTTCAGTGCTCTACAGTTGTGCTATCTACTTTTCGCAGAATTTCCCACTTGCGTTGCTGAGAATTCCGCACAAGCCTAAAATTGTACTTTCAAAAAAGATCTCCCACACTGATAGAATGTGGTGGATCTTATTTTATCCGACAATTTTTTGAACCTTAAGCAATGGAAGGTGTGAAGTTGGATTGATTTGAAATTATTCTCGCCAATCGAGAGCATTTCATAATTAACCATGTCACGCGACAATTTTAAGAGACCGAAAATTAGGCTTTTTTAATTGCTAATATCTCCAATGGGCAACGTTACATGTCGATCAACATGTGATCACAGTAAAACCCAATCATAGTGCTATGTTTCTGAAGAAAAAATTTTGGCCTCCGTGAAACATTCGTGATCACATTCCTCCGAAGTGCGTGACAGGAAAAGTTGATTTAAGCACTTTGTGACCACAAGCTGCTGGTTAATAAGCCGAATCAAATCGTGTAATGGTAATATGTGACGCCAAATGTTTTGTTTTTCGGCTCTAAAAATATTAAAAGATGTTTATTGCATAGCTAAGGCGTTGAATTAGTTGTACTAATTCGTAGATATTGACAAAATTCACTGACAGTTACTAGTAAATCTAATAACACCGATTCGCGTTTATATGCTGGAAGTCAACTGCTACAAACAAAGTATGCGAGGTATATTTTGTACATCTTGCTACTTTCCATACTTGTTAAATTTATTATCAAACTTAGGATGCACTTAAACTAATTTCCTTCTAGAGAAAACACAGCCGTCATGTAAATTTAGGTGTTTGGCGTGACACGTGCTCTCGTCACTTGTACTAACATGAATTCAGAAATGAAATTCCCAGAGCTCGAAAAAATCAAAGTCTATCTTGAAAGTCAATCCACATTCTACTTTAAATAAACTTATTTTATTTACCTTTGTAAAGTCTGATTGTATGATTGTTTTCGAGGTAGAGATCCTTCAATCAGGCTAATGTAAACACCGTCGCCATGAAAAGTAAACAATGATAACAAAAAAACACGCAGTCTTTTCTTGCCAGTGAAGTCTCGCCGTTGTTTTTGCTAGGTACTTGGTCGATTTTTGGAGCGGCAACTTGAAGCTATGGCTGCCCAATTGTCTTGGTCGTTCTCTTTGCATTCCAATAGCACTTGTGATTTTTCAGGGAGATTTCTAGGGAAGAATGAATTCTTTCCTTAGTCATCCTGTACGAGGGATATCAAATCTCATTTGCGACAACTGAAGGTTGCTCAAACATCGGTTAGGTCGGAAAAAGACCCCATTTTAGCTAGAGTGGGATTCTTTGATGAGATGGGGGATGATGTAACAGTATGTCCGAAGCATTGCACTGCGCCAGGAACCTGGTGGAGATGTTACCATCCTCTGCATGGCAATAAGTGACGAAAACCAGAAAGAGGAGCAAGCCTACCGATGTGTAAAGAGATTATAGAGAAATGGAGAGTTCTTGTTCCCGTCGGTGCAGGTATGGTTTTGTTTTCATTTTTTGTTGTTTAGAATCATGTCTCTTGTAGAACCAGATAGACACCAGTGGTATTCCTTGTTCTTCTGCCAGAGAATTAATACTTAATAAATGAAATTACTTAAACTGGATAGGGAATTAACAGAATTTGTAAGTAATTCATTTCGCAGGTCAATATGACGATAACTGCTCACTTCTTGTGACAGGAAAGCTTCAATAGTAAACTGAAAAAAAATTTTTTTAACATTTATTTTGCACACAAGGTAAAAGGTAGTCGATAGCTTTCGACTTTAAAACAGGTTCAAGTTCAAGTTCAAGTTGGCTATACGAACTTGCTTTTTTGGTCTTAAGGGAGCTACGTCACGATATTTTGAGTCATTTTTACAGTCGTAAAGAGCTTCCTTTAGATAGAATGAAACCTTGAAATGATCGTTTTATAGGGCAGAAAAACAGTTGTTGCGAGGATCTTAAGAATGTAATAGCAGACCTTCAGTTGGCATTTGATTCACAAGAAGTCAATTGCAGGTGATTATACGTGTTTACAGTTGATACCACCTGGTTTCCTTACAACCTTCGTTTTGTTCTCGAATGACATGGAAAGAGTATGCAACTGTAGTCCACAATATGTAACTAACAATCAAAGATGACGTGAAAATAACTGTCAATCTCAGTGTCATATCACAAAGGCTGGAACGCTTTTTTTTTTCATCTTCTTAAACTTTTATGAAATGCTTGAGAACTGAACCCTCCTATTCCTGCCCTGAACAAGGATGTGTCAAAGTCTACAAGGAATTTAAAGGTCTAGAGAAACATCTTGATGTTGGACGCCACCCTAATCAAGTTAGAAAGAGAATCGGACTATGACAGCATGATAACAAAGTGGGCAGAGACCTGTAAAACTGTTACAGGAGACTATGTGCAAGGTGAAGTTGGTGGTGCACCGCCAGTGACAGAATCCCCATCAGTATCAGCTGACAATCCATCGATGGAGGAGGGTTGGGCAATGAAGAAATCAAAGAAGTCAATCCGAGTTTCCGAAAGCGTTCGCTCTTATTTGCCGGAAACATTCCTCCAAGGAGAAGACACCGGTGTTAAAGCAAATCTCGCTGATATTGCATGTAAAATGAGGAGTCAAAGATCGTCAAATGGAGATAAATTGTTTTCAAAGGAAGAGTGGTTTTCAACACATCAAGTTATAAGATATTTCAGCTGGCTGTCAGCCCTTAACAAGAGTGGTGTCCTAAAGCGAAATGTAAATGCTTCCCAAGAGGAGGAAGAGGACCTTGATTATATCAGCGAAGTAGAAGCAATGGAGACAAGATTCCAAATAAGAAGGGAACTAGAACTTTAATTTAAAACTCGTACTTTATGTATAATTGCGAAGTAATCTCTATTTAATTATGAATAACCTGCAAAAGGCACTCATGAATACCGTGAGGTAAAAAGTACTGTCTATAATATTTGGCGAGGAGCCTGGCAAAACAGTGGAAAGCAAAACCCTCTATATTTGAGTACCACAAAGCTACTAGCAACCTCTTACCACATAACATATATAGCAATGCGAATTCAATTGTAACTGCAATGAAACGTGGAAATAAGCTTAGCACTTATGTCCATTAAATACATATAAAAGGCCGGCCGGCTCCAGTCCTAACGTGAATAATTGTGAGCAAGACTACTACTATGGGATACTCCACAAACACTTACCAAAACAAGATCAACTGCAACAATTAAAATAACTGGGGTATCTTTCAATCTAGCTTATAGACTTGAGCGGCTCTTTCCCTACTTATTAAAATTTTGTAACAACTGAAGACAGTCAGTTTTGTAATAAGCTTTCAGTTACTTCGTCAGCACTTCTGGTCTTTCAAAATTGAAAATATTGAATACGAAAAATGAAGCTTCGAATGCCGTTTTTTATTATTCTCGGATTGGTAAATAATACCACAAAACGTAATTTAAAGGATTGATTATGGCGCGAAGATAATAATTTACCGTGAAATAGTATCTAACAGTAAGTGCGTAGTAGTCAAAACCGTGGAAGTAGTGCGTAATACTAACTAATAGTGAAGTAACTACAGTTTCATGGGTCTAGTAAAATCACTCTAGTTGCCACATCACAGTTGAATAGAAATAGAGAAAATTATGATGAATACAAGCAAAAAGTGGCAAGGAAACCGACCACGTGCTTTCTTTTGTCTTTGTTTACTTTTCATGGCGATGGTGTTTAGATTAAAGGGCATGTAAACCCAAAAATACATGTTTTTCTTATACTATGTAAAAAGTGGCGTAGAAAACGAATTTGAAATTAGTTTTGTCCAATTCGACTTATTTTAGGAGAAAATCGGCATTTTCAACTGAAATTCCATTTCCGGTAAAAACAATAGCGAGAAGTCGTGACGTAAGCGGTGGAACCAAAATATTGCGCAACACATATTCCCCAGTAGAACTGGTGTGGGAGTTCGTGTAAGTAGCGGTAGTTCGGAAGATGTTTTTTCAGAAGATAGCGACTCGAATGCCTTAAGCTTAGTACATGACAGCGCTGGGGATAATCCAGAATCTTCAGGAGAGTCTGGGCCACGTCCTTAACAATATGAGCCGCGTAGGGTTCACCGAAGCGATCCGCACGAAGACAGTACAGAACATGTCGACAGCGATGCGACCGTCTCGGAAACTCAGACTGGTATTTAATTTACTTTGTGATTTATTTGTATATAACATGAAAATGCAATAAGGCGAGGGTACAATCTAAAGGAATGCAACAGAATTTTTTTTTTAACTTGAGCTTCTGAAAGTGTTTTATATAAAATTATCAAAGGTGCGAGTGTGGAACTTGTCAACCAATGCCGACAACTCATGAAAGTGTTTGTTGTACGGAAATCGGGCAATTGTGGCAAAATGACCTGAAACCCAGATAAGTTGTATCACTGAGCATCCAGGTTTTCGGTCAATTTGCCTCGATTTCTGGGTGCTGAAGACGGCCAAGTACGCGTACAGGCAGCAGCAAAGCACAGATAATCACACCGGAAACGACTAAGCTAAATATTTTCTGTTTCATCTGTTTTGTTACATTTTGAGATCGATTTACTTGAGTTGTTTCTGCCATTGATTTAATAATACAGTACTAGAGCTAGTTGTTTTTCGCTTCTTTCCTGGCAGGAAATTTCGCTAAATTGCCTACAGATAGCTTGTTCGTTGGTGTTGGGGATATCTCGGCAAACACTTTAGGGTCGCTGTGCTATCTTGTGCGGTAAACAATATCCTTCATCTCAGAAGCATTTCCATCGATAAAAAAGTTGTATCATGTACATTTCCTTGTGTGCCCTTCATAATTATCCAACCCTGTTTGTGTTTGCTTCGATTTGAAATATTGAAAAGATAGTTTTGCAAGCTGAAATCAGGATCTTTTAAGTTGTACTCAAAATGATGAATATTGTCCTACTGACCTTTGAATGCATTTTCACTGCTGTAAAAACCGTGACACAAATTCTTCTGCTGTTTCTCTGCAGGGTTTCTCAAAGGAAGCACCAAGTGGGGCTGGCTTGGATTTTCTTATAGAACATAAGATGTTTTTAGAGAACCAATAAAGCTATTGTTGTTTAATTAACAAAACGTTTTCATGTAAATCGATTTTGTACTTTCTCTGTTGACCTCTAACTTTTGAAGAGCTCAACTTCTTTCTCAGTTCGGTCGACCACTTCCGAATCCTCGTCGTCTGCCGACTGTATGGGTCGTTTTTATACTTCCGAATAATTTGCTTCTGGTGAGGCCTGAATCGTCGGTACAGCACCAGGAAGAAAAATGACTGCCACAAACAACAGAACGTTCGAACGGCTCGACGAAATCGGCTATTTTCACTTGAACAAATTTCACAAATTGTCGCTTCAAATTTGCGTCATTTGGAAATATTTGCATTGTATGCCCAGTTTTGTTTGAATCAGTACAAAACTGGACGACACAACGCTTCACCATTACGAAAAAATTGAATATATTGAAGCAAACTGTAAGTAAAAAAATCATGACGAGACCAGCAAACAACGGCTGTAGGAAAGACTCCTTCGTGCCTCACGCGATTATAAAACGAGACTTTGGAGGGTCCACCCGTGACGTCACAGGAAAGATGGCGCCATTCAAGATGGCGAATGTTTCGAATTTGGAAGAGCTTTTACAAAGTGAAAATGGACTTTTGAGAATAAACGAATGGTACCTTTGGTGTACTTGATATATTTACAAAACATCTATGTGAAAAGAAAATGAACGTTTTTTGGGTTTACATGCCCTTTAAGGTAATTGTTTGGACATTTTTCAGTAGCAAAGCTGAATACATAACTACAGCAAAAGTCGTTGCGTAGCAGTGTTGTGAAATGTTTCCACTCAAAATTAATTTCCTAGATTTATTATGAATTTAATTGTGTATTTAGTGAGTTGTAATTTCGTTACCGTTAAAGCACAAGTAACATTATTCCGAGACTACGGCTTTGTTTTAGAACAGAATGGGGTTATAAGCCTAGGGAAATCAATCCAAAATACCGGCGAACAATTGCTCTCACCTTTAGAAGAGAATCACAATATCAGAAGTAACATGTAATTGGGAGCGGCATAGGGTAATCAAGTTAGTTGTGCGAGCAGTGATGTATGAAACTAGGTATTTGCAGGGCTTTTAAGCCGGAAGAAACTTAGCAGCATGATAGTCAAGAAAAGCCATGTTTAATAGGAAATCAGTGCCTACGAATCATTGTAGAACGTAAGTGAATCTTAAATCCGACACGGAATCCGGGTAGGGTTTCCTGAGCAAATAAATGTGACATTTTCGTAACCCTAGGATTAGATTGTTATAGAGTAGATAGATCGCAGAACGGAACGTGTAATGCTGAATTGCCGTCAATAAAGCCTGAATCAAGAGAAAGTATACAGTCCAAGATCTAGATTACTGAACCAGCGTGTGCGGAATTCTCAGCAACGCAAGTGGGAACTTCTGCGAAAAGCAGATAGCACAACTGTAGAACACTGAAGTAAAGACAATCGTACTAAGCCATGCCGAATCATTTCAACCTGGAGGATTGCGAACGATTCCTGCACGACGAAAACCAGTTTAGTCCAGGAGCGTCAAAACGCATCGAAAAATACCTTCAAATTTCTCGAGAAGGCCTGGACGAGTTTTTGATTCCATTCCCAGAGATGATTACTGTTACCTTGAGTTGAGTGACTGCGATGCAGTGTTCTCTCAGACTGATGTACATCAAAATGAAACCTTTTTCTATGACCGTCCTCATCGTTAGAGTGAATATTTCTGAACCAGCGAAATAGTATGTGTTGTGAATTTCCAAATTAGCCAGGAATAACATTTGTGTGACCGACAAAGAATCCTCAGATAACATATATATATATTTCCACGTAACTATAGCTAGGCGAGTATGACGTTAGCGAGAAAAGAAAAAAATACAGCGCACGTGAAAACACTGCATCCTAAGCATAAACATGGTTTAGTTATTCTTCTTTTTGAAATAAAGAGACAGTTTCGTTGAGATGGTCAAACTATACGTTAGGCTAAAAGAGTTCCATTGCCTTTTTAAAATCGCTTGAGCCAGATTTAAATCATAGGCTGACGACTTTTGACGTTGTGTTAAACTTATAAATAAGATAGACAAGACAATAGCTGTGGCGTAACAGATAATCTCTGAAAGAGGCCAACAATAACGGACCCTGTTAATTGATTTCCTTCACGAAAATTAATTTTTCGATAGGGAAAATACCCTGACTGAATTTTGAACGGTATGTTATGCCATAGATAGTCGAAGAGTTACCGATGAATTTTGAATAATGATTAATCATTCCGAGGAATGACCTCAACTGATGCTGATTTATGGGTGCGGGCGCTTTTCTTATGGCTTCGACTTTTTTCTCGATCGCATGTATTCCTTGTGCATCTATTCGATAACCTGGAAATTCAACGGTTGGCTGCATGAATTTGCATTTGCTAAGTTTTAACCTCAAGTCAGCGCGTTCCAACCTCGCTAAAACTTCATTCGGATGAATTAAATGCTCTTGATCATTTTCCCCCGATATTAAAATATCGTCCGCCCCACAAACGACCATTGGTATACCCTGGAGTACTTGCTCAATTTTTGATTGAAAGATAGCTGACGCGGAGGATACTCCAAAAGGTAAACGAGTGGGTCTATAAAAACCCTTGTGAGTATTTATGGTTACATACTCCCTAGAATCCTCATCCAAAAGAATTTGTTGGTAAGCCCTGGATAAATCTAGCTTACTGAATTTTTCTCCCCCTCTAATTCAACAAATAACTCTTCGGGGTTTGGCGACGGGTGTTGGTCAACCTCCAAAACGGAATTGACGGTGACTCTATAATCCCCACAAACTCTAATTGAATTATCCAGTTGAACGACAGGAACTATCAGTGCCGCCCACGCTGAGTAACGCACCTTTTCGATTACTCCCATATTTTCTAGGCGATCTAATTCTTGTTCGATGGCTCCTTTTAAAGCATATTGAACTTGGCGCGGTTTGAAAAACTTCGGTTTTGATTCGGGCTTGACGAATAGTTTAGTTTTAGTTTGTCCAATAATTTCGAGGGCTTCTCCTGTGTAAGTCTTCAACTTGATTTGGGACTCCTCTAATGGAACTTTCGGGAACCATCTTCTCCATGCATCCTCGGACATGATTGAAACTGACGCACCAGTGTCCAACTCCATTGAAAAGCTTACACCATTCACCTTTACAGGAACCATGATGGATGATTCAGGCTATTCTTGATGAATGTGAAATAGTTTGAAGTCGTCATTTGGCTCTTTTTCAAGGATGTCGTCCTCCACGTAGCGAACTGGTTGTCTTCTCTCACCTTGATTTGAACGTGATCCATAGGCGTAACCATCTGTAAGCTTTAGGCTAGATGGCTTCACCGGGGTTATTAAATCTCTCAAGACGTTGTAGGTCTTGCTGCCTATTGAAGTCAGGAACGTGGCCATGATCTTCTTTTCTTCTTTGATTTCGTTCGTGATCACGTATTGATCAAAACGTTCGTAATATGCGTTCCAGTCTTCTAAACTGGGGTTAAAGAACTCAATCGTTCCAAGAGTGGTCATCCTCGTCGCCAGTTGTTGCGTATTAGGGTTCGTCATGTACTACTATAGAGTAAAGCGTGCACAGACCAAGTGCTCTACACAACTGCTTTATTAGAATGTCATGAAGTTAATTACACACATTGATATATTAGCATAATCACATGACTGCGGTCAAAGGTGTGCTAATCAATAGAATAAAGATTATATAATAGCCAAAGTATTTATCTAAACAGGAACAAACACTACACACCTGAAACCTGAAACACACATAGAGCCTGTTTTTCAGTTTCTAAATCTTTCCCTCTTCTCTCTCAACAGACTTTCCTCCACAGCACTCCCACATCGTCGAAACTAGTGAACCCAAGAAACTCGAAAAAGTTAAAGATAGTTTGAATTCTACAAAAGACTGGACACTGGAACAGATGCTAAGCACTCGTACCAGGAGGAAACGAGCCTAAAAAGCTGCTTTCATCGGCTTGTCAGCGATCACCCTCTTCATTTTCCATTCATTTCCGGCATCTAATTTTTTTGTTCCTGTTTATTTACTTCAACTTTTTGATCATGGTTATAACCCTTTGATCAAAGCAAAACTGTACTGTTTTCAAAAATTGCCGTGAAACTAATGAAAATGTCTCATATAACCAAAGTGGCGAAGTTTGAAATAAAAATACCTTGTATCTTTCCTGAGTTTAAAGTAAATAAACTCTGTTATAAACTGATATTTTGAATTACTTGTGTTCTTTCCCTTCAAATTAAGAAATATTGCATGCTAAATAATATTAGCCCGGGCGGACCGGTCATCATTTGTTGTCTAGGGGGGTCGGAGAATTATAGTTTTGACGCCCCATAGAATTTTACCGAACCTTTTCTCAATGTCAGTTATACTTTTCACTATCCACTTCCCACGGAGGAAGTATGGATTGCGTAGCCGTCAGTTCCAGGCCTCCTTTCCTTTTTTTCCCCTCAATGCTATCACGCATCACGTCGTGCCCTGTTTTGTAACGGCCCGGTGTATTAAGATGTGGATCCAGAAAAAAAGAGGAAAGAGGTCGTCAGAAGTAATAGCCACATAAGGCTTTGCCAGAGTTAAAAAAAAATTACTTGTGGGTTTCATATGGATCTACACTCTTTTGTTAAAATATCACGAAAATAAAATATTACTCAACAGCAGACCTCTAAAATGGTGTTTTCAGACAACATATCTCCTTCACTGTCCGATAGTACAACCAGCCTGTACCGCTTAATCTTGTCACGCCACTCCTGGCTGGATTCCAACTGGGCATTTTGATTGGCTTTTTCAACAACAGCTTGTTGGCTTTCTGGAAACTGAGCGACCTGCAATTGTTCTTAGAGTCGGAGAAGACCTCACATTACTCGCGTCCTCAGACATTTAAAGAAAACGTAAAGAATCTCCTGGAGGACTGGAAGTTTGACTCAGAATAACAAGTGCGATTTTGCTATAGATGGAATTTAAATTACGGCCGTTGATTTTGGTATTGCGGAAGTTATGGTCGTTTAAGGTAATTGTTTGGGAATTTTTCTGACAAAGCTGAGTACATAATTACAGCGAAAGTCGTTGCGTAGCAGTGTTGTGACTTAGCAACATGATTGTCAAGAAAAGCCGATTAGTGTCCACGAATGGTTGTAGAACTTGAGCGAATCTTGAATCCGACGCGGAATTACGTATCTGGGTGTGGAATTCCTTAACTAATAAATGCAACATTTAACATGTAACCCTAGGATTAGATTATCATAGAGTAGATAGATCTCGAGACTACGGCTTTGTTTTAGAACAGAATGGGGTTATAGGCCTAGGGAAATCAATCCAAAATACCGGCGAACAATTGCTCTAACCTTTAGAAGAGAATCACAATATCAGAAGTAACATGTAATTGGGAGCGGCATAGGGTAATCAAGTTAGTTCTGCGAGCAGCGATGAATGAAACTAAGTATTTGCAGGGCATTAAGCCGGAAGAAACTTAGCAGCATGATTGTCAAGAAAAGCCATGTTTAGTATAAAATTAATGCCAACGAATCGTTATAGAACGTAAGTGAATCTTAAATCCGACACGGAATCCGGGTGTGGATTTCCTCAGCTAATAAATGTGACATTTTCGTAACCCTAGGATTAGATTGTAATAGAGTAGATAGATCGCAGAACGGAACGTGTAATGCTGAATTGTCGTCAATAAAGCCTGAATCAAGAGAAAGTATATAGTCCAAGATCTAGATTACTGAACCAGCGTGTGCGGAATTCTTAGCAACGCAAGTGGGAACTTCTGCGAAAAGCAGATAGCACAACTGTAGAACACTGAAGTAGAGACAATCGTACTAAGCCATGCCGAATCATTTCAACCTGGAGGATTGCGAACGATTCCTGCACGACGAAAACCAGTTTAGTCCAGGAGCGTCGAAACGCATCGAAAAATACCTTCAAATTTCTCGAGAAGGCCTGGATGAGTTTTTGATTCGATTCCCAGAGATGATTCGAAACGAAGATCAATTGTTCTATATCGTGCGATTTATGAGGGCGCATCACAAGTTCGACACGCAAGATCACGAAAAGAATTTTCAACAATTACCTGTTTACAACTATGGAGAGAAAAGTGACGGAGCTACTCGCTGTTGTGGAGCAAAAAGACCCTCACACGTATTGGTATTTGATGCATGCTCTGCAGTCAAAACATTCCCCTTTGTATGAGCATCTTCACGGATCCATAAGATGTTGTGGAACGTAGAAGATTTGTTACTGCTGGCCGATTTTGAACGTTTATCATTTGGTGAGATATTGTGGTTCCGAAATTCATGATTCCCTTACCTTTGCAAAGAATAATTATTTTACGTCGAAATAGTGACGTCATAGGCAATTTGTAATGCAGGACTTACTTGATTGCAACCTTACGATTTTCAGTGGTTTAAAAAAAGGGTGTTTTAATTCTTTATGCGATAATTGATCGTCGCACAATTATTTGGCTGACTAAATCAATGATGTGAAAATGCGGCTGCTCAAAAGTCGAAATTACAGGCCCTGGCAGACGGAAAGAACAGCTTAGTTGTTCCAAATTAAAACTGCAGTTCTTGAATGATTCTGAAACCGAACGTTCATGCACTCAATCTGAGTTATTAGGTTGGCTCAGGATTAAGAAAACAGGAGCTTATGCTCTCTCGACTAAGCTTACGTTCTATTGATAGGAAAAGAGGCATATGCTGCTCGATGTAAGAAAATGATATCCTTCAGTGGGGAAGTTTTTGTTAAGTAACTCATCCCTAAAACTAGTAACACAGCTATTTGAGATTCTTTTGATTGCAGTGTGTAAAGATATAAAACACAGAGAGAAAGAGGAGGAGTTACATTTTTCAGGTGAGATGAGGATATGATTTTATTTTACGTAAGTGTGAATGAGACAATAGTTTTGAAAGCCCGGATTAAGTGGAGAAAGGGCGGAATGGGGGAGAGGAAGAAGAAACAGGAAGCTGCTTTTGGTCAGTTTTATTTGTAATTGATAACATACAGCGTCTGGATAGATACAAAATGAAATGCTTGCTTTGCAGATTTGGAAAACGAAGGGAAAGTAATAGTGTCCTTACTTAAAGCTTTGTGTGAAGCAATTGAGGACAAAGTCTCCAATGGAAGATCGTACATCGAAAAGATGAGAAATGCGAGGCAAAGTGAGTTCCATCAATTTTAGACGCAATACTCTGTTACAAATAGTTCATTTACAATTTAGTGTGAGAGTATAAGTCGCACGTGGCTTCGGCGCCATTTTTATTGGAAGGGTACAACTATGATAATATAGGATAACAAAAACGGCGTCGGATGCACTTCTGAATTCATGCAGTTTTGTATTGTTACAATCACAGCATGAAATCGCAAATTTACGCATCTTTAACTCTTGCGTAAAAAACGTAAATATAAAGCCTCTTCTTTACGGACAAGTTCCGCGTTCCGTAAAGATACGTAAATGCGGAGAAAGCGTAAAGACTGCGTAAAGGATATTGAATGTTTGTAAAGGATAAGGAATAAGATGGATATAATCAAGCACTTTCTATTTGGAGAAATACTCAAAGAAGTGAAATAATTATGGCTCATCCATTTTCCGTAGAATTACCGTGGTATTTTGACCAGTTTCGCTTTTAACACTTTACAGGTCTTTAATAGTAATAATAATAATACGGTCGCTGTAAAATATCGTAAATATCCTCTATACGACTTTTTAAAAGGCACGTAAAGATAGCGTTTTTAGTTTCTCCCTGATCTTTACGTACTATCGTTTTCAATGCGTAAAGACAATCTTTACGAAAGTGTAAAGAAGTTCGTAAAGACGCGTAAAGAGGATCTCCTCGCTTACTTTACGGCATATTTACAGATTCATAAATTTATAATTTCATGCTGTGATAATTGGCTTTGGAAGCTAGTGCATTTAACTGAATCGCGCGCGTTTTGCCGCGTTTGGCGTCTCTCACGGGTGGCTCTTTTGATATTTTATTGGCTATGATTTGTAGTTGTATTAAGCGTTTGCGCAAATACTAAAACACATTCTAAAAATCTTAATTGAGATTTTCTTTTTGTATCATTTTATTTTATAGGAAAGAAAGGTGAAGCTTTAGTAACAAACCGAACTACTTATCCTGTGGATGATGTTGTTGAGCCTGAGGATGAGGACTACATTGATGCTACGGAAGGTTGGTGAGGAGTAAATATCTCCTCAGTTGCTTATGTTGATTGTGTTATATTCATGATACAAATGAAAAGCCTTGTTTTCCTCTTTTTTTTTTTTTTTGTTAACCAGGTATTGGGATTCAGAGTAAAAGCTCTTAAAAGCTCTCTCCCCCTCCCCCCCTCTCCCCCCCTTACCATCTTTATTAGCTCAGCATACTATCTAACTTGCGCTTTCCAATACTACAACTGCCATTCAGGGTTATCAATGTTACCTGCAAATATAACATAGAGCCTGTTTTTCAGTTTCTAAATCTTTCCTTCCTCTCTCTCAACAGACTTTCCTCCACAGCACTCTCGCATCGTCGAATCTGGTGAACCCAAGAAACTCGAAAAAGTTAAAGATATCCTGAATCCTACAAAAGACTGGACACCAGAGTTGGCAGAAGAGATGCTCCGCACTTGTACCAGGAGGAAGCGAGCCTACAAAGCTGCTTTCATCGGCTTGTCAGCGATCACCCTCTTCATTTTCCATTCACTTCCGGCATTTGATTTTTTGTTCCTGTTTATTTACTGTAACTTTTTGATCATGGTTATAACACTCTGACCAGAGCAAAACGCTACTGTTTTCAAAAATTGCCGTGAAACTAATAATAATAATGATAATAACAATAATAATAATTTATTTACTTATATTGCGCGTGAAACTACTGAAAACGACACTAATGAAAATGTTCTATATAACCAAAATGTTAAGAACCTGGAAAAGACATTTGAATTTCCAGGTAGGTGCCACTATGGATCGCATGCATATACCACATGACGTTGTACGATGGTTACTCAAACAATAGCTCTGCTGTTCACAAGAGTCCAAAGGGGATCTTGAAGATGATACGTAGTAGCAACCTGTAAGTGTCAAAACACAGTGGTTAGACGTCTGTGCATGTGTAAACGTTTGATAAAGTTTAAAACAGAATGGTAGAAGGAAAACTTAATGTAAATATTCAGTAGCATAAGTTTAGCGTAATCACCTGCTGAAGGCCCGCAGTATAAAAATACAAGGAAAAACTGTTAGTGTTCATTAAGGGTTGACTGGAGTTTCACCAGAATAACTGCATCATGACAAAGAGGTTGTGGTCTCTTGATTAAGACTTAGTGGCTAAGTTTGAAATAAAAATACCTTGTATCTTTGCTGAGTTTAAAGTAAGTAAACTGTGTTATGCCGTAGTCTCGGAATAAATGTGGGAGACTACCATACATCATACGATAAGCTGAATTACCCACAAATACCGTAAATCGAATGTTTATTCGGCTATCAGCCGAGTGATCATCAACGATCACAAATTGCTAGTCTTGCGCTAAATCATTGTTGATCAATAACTTTTATTTAAGTGGTGACTCCTAACGCAGCCGTTTTTTTTAGTGATAACTTCAAGGATGAAGTATTTATTTCTCTTTTTTTTGTTATCGGTCTCAAACTTGTCGTCCCAGGCCATCTCATCGTCGGCTAGTTTAGGCATGTCATCGGTACAGATGTTATCATCTTCTGAGTAGTCGGGCGCGTTCGAAGTCCTGCATGTTTTAAATGATTTCTTCATCATTTTTTCCGGAAGTTCATCCCAAGCCCGCTTTATCTAACGAAGGACCAGGTTTCGCAACTGTACCTTCTATTTTCCCGCTGGGGTAAACTCAAAGGGAAGTCAGTCATCATCCAGGAGAGGTTCTGCCTCTGGATTTTGTCCTTACACGGTTTGTTGAGACACTTATCCAAAGGCAATTTTTTTAGGGGTAAACGGTTCTGCTCGGTAAAGACTCGAATTGCGCAGTTTTATCCATGTGAGCGGAAATCACTTACCGTTGGAATTGGGTAGTCTTCTCCTCCAGATCTTGTGGAAGTCGCTGTGCAAGTGTTGTCTTTGTGCAAAGGCTGATAGAATGGCGCTTTTTCCACTTCTGGTACCAACCCAGCGAGGCTTTGAACTGTTCATCTCTGCACAACTGCTTGGCTCTCAGCCGCAAAAGTAATCGGCCATCGGTAATTCCTGTAAAAAATAAAGAGAAGCAAGATCTAGCTTAAGCTCAAATGCTTTGACCTGTTTTGGCAAGATCTGGCCAATCAGAAGCGGCCGTTCGCACGACTACGTGTTTCGTAGATTTCCTATTTTTATATCGCGGAAGTTATGGTCATTTAAGGGTAATTGTTTGGGCATTTTTCACTGGCAAATCTGAATACATAATTACAGTAAACGTCGTTGCGCAGCAGTGTTGTGAAATGTTTCTAATTGATTTCCTAGATTTATTATGAATTTAAATGCGAATTAAGAGTCTGTCCAAGAGGGGACTAGGCAGGCGTGACACATGCCATCTCACCGATTTCTCTCAAACTTTCACAGATGATTAAGTCGAGAGTCCAAAGTAGTTTGGGCTCCCGGTTAATCCCTGGGGTACAAGGGCTTTCACATCAAATCCCAGGGATAAAACCCCGAAATTAGCCCTAACTTTTGTACTTCCAAAAAAGATCTCTCACACTAATAGAATGCGGCGGATTTTAATCTCATTTTATCCGACAATTTGTTGAACCTTAAGCAATGGAAGGTTCGAAGTTGGATTGATTTGAAATTATTCTCGCCAATCGGGAGCATTTCATAATTAACCATGTCACGCGACAATTTTAAGAGACCGAAAATTAGGCTTTTTTAATTGTAAATATCTTCAATGGGCATAACGTTACATGTCGATCAACATGTGATCACAGTAAAACCCAATCATAGTGCTATGTTTCTGACGGGAAAAATTTTTGGCCTCTGTGAAATATACGTGATCACACTCCTCCGAAGTGCGTGACAGGCAAAGTTGATTTAAGCACTTTGCGACCACAAGCTGCTGGTTAATGAGCCGAATCAAATCGTGTAATGGTATATGTGACGCCAAATGTTTTGTTTTTCGGCTCTAAAAATATTAAAAGATGTTTAGTTGCATAGCTAAGGCGTTGAATTAATTGTACTAATTCGTAGATATTGACACAATTCACTGACAGTTATTAGTAAATCTAATAACACCGATTCGTGTTTATATGCTGGAAGTCAACTGCTAAAAACAAAGTATTCCTTTCATACTTCTTAAATTTATTTTCAAACATGGAGCGCTTAAAGTAATTTCCTTACAGAAGAAAAAACAGCCGTCATGTAAATTTAGGTGTGTGGCGTGACACGTGTTTCTGTTACATGTACTTCAATGCATGAATTCAGAAATAAAATTCATTGAGCTCGAAAAAATAAAAGTCTCTCTTTGACAGGCAATCCGCTTAAGGTCAAGTTATTTTCGTTTACTATACTGAAATCTAATTGCATGAGTATTTTTCTGAAATCAGGTTAAAGGGCATGTAAACCCAAAAAACGTTCATTTTCTTTTCACATAGATGTTTTGTAAATATATCAAGTACACCAAAGGTACCATTCGTTTATTCTCAAAAGTCCATTTTCACTTTGTAAAAGCTCTTCCAAATTCGAAACATTCGCCATCTTGAATGGCGCCATCTTTCCTGTGACGTCGCGGGTGGACCCTCCAAAGTCTCGTTTTATAATCGCGTGAGGCACGAAGGAGTCTTTCCTACAGCCGTTGTTTGCTGGTCTCGTCATGATTTTTTTTTACTTACAGTTTGCTTCAATATATTCAATTTTTTTCGTTTCGTAATGGTGAAGCGTTGTGTCGTCCAGTTTTGTACTGATTCAAACAAAACTGGGCATACAATGTCTAAATATTTCCAAATGACGCAAATTTGAAGCGACAATTTGTGAAATTTGTTCAAGTGAAAATAGTCGATTTCGTCGAGCCGTTCGAACGTTCTGTTGTTTGTGGCAGTCATTTTTCTTCCTGGTGCTGTACCGACGATTCAGGCCTCACCAGAAGCAAATTATTCGGAAGTATAAAAACGACCCATACAGTCGGCAGACGACGAGGATTCGGAAGTGGCCGACCGAACTGAGAAAGAAGTTGAGCTCTTCAAAAGTTAGAGGTCAACAGAGAAAGTACAAAATCGATTTACATGAAAACGTTTTGTTAATTAAACAACAATAGCTTTATTGGTTCTCTAAAAACATCTTTTTTCTCATCTAATGAAATATTATGGGGAAGCCAGTTGTTCGGGAGCCAGCGCTGAGCCGTAAAAAGACACTGACATGTCTGAACCTTAAGAAAGAGAATTCGTTGATATCAGTGTGTAATAACGTGATCTGGAATTTTGTCGGTTCGATAAAAAGAATTCTATACAGGATCCCATAATCAACCCTTATGTTCTATAAGAAAATCCAAGCCAGCCCCACTTGGTGCTTCCTTTGAGAAACCCTGCAGAGAAACAGCAGAAGAATTTGTGTCACGGTTTTTACAGCAGTGAAAATGCATTCAAAGGTCAGTAGGAAAATATTCATCATTTTGAGTACAACTTAAAAGATCCTGATTTCAGCTTGCAAAACTATCTTTTCAATATTTCAAATCGAAGCAAACACAAACAGGGTTGGATAATTATGAAGGGCACACAAGGAAATGTACATGATACAACTTTTTTATCGATGGAAATGCTTCTGAGATGAAGGATATTGTTTACCGCACAAGATAGCACAGCGACCCTAAAGTGTTTGCCGAGATATCCCCAACACCAACGAACAAGCTATCTGTAGGCAATTTAGCGAAATTTCCTGCCAGGAAAGAAGCGAAAAACAACTAGCTCTAGTACTGTATTATTAAATCAATGGCAGAAACAACTCAAGTAAATCGATCTCAAAATGTAACAAAACAGATGAAACAGAAAATATTTAGCTTAGTCGTTTCCGGTGTGATTATCTGTGCTTTGCTGCTGCCTGTACGCGTACTTGGCCGTCTTCAGCACCCAGAAATCGAGGCAAATTGACTGAAAACCTGGATGCTCAGTGATAAAACTTATCTGGGTTTCAGGCCATTTTGCCACAATTGCCCGATTTCCGTACAACAAACACTTTCATGAGTTGTCGGCATTGGTTGACAAGTTCCACACTCGCGCCTTTGATAATTTTATATAAAACACTTTCAGAAGCTCAAGTTAAAAAAAATTCTGTTGCATTCCTTTAGATTGTACCCTCGCCTTATTGCATTTTCATGTTATATACAAATAAATCACAAAGTAAATTAAATACCAGTCTGAGTTTCCGAGACGGTCGCATCGCTGTCGACATGTTCTGTACTGTCTTCGTTCGGATCGCTTCGGTGAACCCTACGCGGCTCATATTGTTAAGGACGTGGCCCAGACTCTCCTGAAGATTCTGGATTATCCCCAGCGCTGTCATGTACTAAGCTTAAGGCATTCGAGTCGCTATCTTCTGAAAAAACATCTTCCGAACTACCGCTACTTACACGAACTCCCACACCAGTTCTACTGGGGAATATGTGTTGCGCAATATTTTGGTTCCACCGCTTACGTCACGACTTCTCGCTATTGTTTTTACCGGAAATGGAATTTCAGTTGAAAATGCCGATTTTCTCCTAAAATAAGTCGAATTGGACAAAACTAATTTCAAATTCGTTTTCTACGCCACTTTTTACATAGTATAAGAAAAACATGTATTTTTGGGTTTACATGCCCTTTAAACGACCATAACTTGCGCAATACCAAAATAGGAAATCTACGAAACAGGAAGTCGTGGGAACGGCCTCTTCTGATTGGCCAGATGTTGTCAAAACAGGTCAAAGCAATTGAGCACAGGAATTGACGTTGGTGTATTACTTCTGTGGCTGAAAGCCAAGCAGTTGTGCAGAGATGAACAGCTCAAAGCCTCGCTGGCCACAAGATCTGGAGAACCCTTTACCTCTAAAAAAAATTGCCTTTGGATGAGTGTTAAACAAACCGCGTAAGGACAACATCCAGAGGCAGAACCTTTCCTGGATGATGACTGACTTTCCTTTGAGTTTACCCGCTGGGGCCCAGCGGGAAAATAGAAGGTCCCATTGCGAAACCTGGTCCTTTGTTAGATAAAGCGGGCTTGGGCTGAAATTCCGGAGGAGATGATGAAGAAATTATTTAAAACATGCAGGATTTCGAACGCGCTCGACACAGAAGATGATAACATCTATACCGATGACATGCCTGAACTAGCCAACGATGAGACGGCCTGGGACGACAAGTGTGAGACCGATAGCAAAGAAGAAGAAGAGGAATAAACACTTCATTCTTGAAGTTATCACTAGACAATACGGCTGCTTTAGGAGTCACCACTTAAATAAAAGTCATTGACCAACAATGATTAAGCGTAAAACTAATAATTTGTGTTCGTTGATGATCGCTCGGCTGATAGCCGAATAAACATTCGATTTACGGTATTTGTGCGTATTTCAGCTTATCATGATGTAATGCATGGTAGTCTCCTACATTTATTCCGAGACTATGGCTTTGTAATAGAATAGAATTGGGTTATAGGCCTAGGGAAATCAATCCAAAATACCGGCGAACAATTGCTCTAACCTTTCGAAGAGAATCACAATATCAGACGACTCAACAAAAATGATCAACCATACAGGAATAAGAAAAAAGTCTATATCAGTTTTATTCGCTGCGTTCTATACAAGAGATGCATGCATGGTGATCGATGGAATTTTCAGCTATTTAATCAACGAAAAACATGACTCAAATAATGACTGTAACAATCAATCGCAAAATGTTAAAAAACTGTTGGCAGTAATTGGTGATTCCTGTTTGATTTAAGACATTGACTTTGGTAATAAGCAATTAACGTGGTGTCTTGCTTCACTCTTTTGTAGATATCAAAGATCTATGAAAAACATGATCCAGATGCCTGTTTCCAGCCTCCATGTTGGCGGTTTTCATCCGTTGAAGCTGACCATAAAAGTTTACGTATCTCCTCCTGAAAATCAAACGATGACAGCTTGGATCAATGTCAGTATCTGAATAGCTGCGCACCTACCCCTCTCCTGACCCAAAATTAGCCCTGACTTGTTATCAGTTGATAGTTGTTTGGTTAGGGTAGGGGTTGAGGTAGGGGGGGGCGCAGTTGCGTAGATACTGACATTGACAATAATTTCAATAAAAAGGGTTTAATTTTAAGCTGAGTTATTCATTGCAAGTTTGAGTCGGTTGATTGACGCCCCTAGGGCTCTTGAGTCACAGTTTGAGAATATTTGATCAATAATTTCTTATTTGACCATTTCCCAAAAATAGCTCTCCAGGGCCAATCGTGATAAGCAAAAAGCAACAAAGATTACAAATGACATAAGTTCTTCTCGAATTCCTCGAGGTTTCGCAACATTGTAAATTTAGCCTGTAAATTCTTTGGTATAGTTACGATCTTCACACTCTTTCCACCTCAGTAACCGTTTGGAATACCTTGACGTCAGAGCACTACTAGTTTCCAGTTCCCTGAAAAAAGCGTTCAAAGTTATTCTAAAAGTTTTGTTAGCAACGAAACTCCAATTTCCCAGACCTATATTTCCCACCACCTGTACGAACCCTGTAGAGGGTTGACAAACTGGAAACTTCTAACCAGTCATTTTAGCGATGCTGTTCGTGAAGGGGGGTGGAATAAACCATGGAAATGATTTTTACTTCTATTTATACCTTGTGAGCTCACAATAATTTGGAAAGATGACTTAAATAAAGACTTACCTTAAGGTCTTCATTGTCTTGGCTCAAGTTCACCGTCCCTTCAGAGGACTGTCCGGTTGCCATAAAACTTTGAAGAAATTTAAATATCCATTTAAAACGAAATCGCATTTGTTATTCTGAGTCAAACTTCCAGTCCTCCAGGAGATTATTTTTTACGTATTCTTTAAATATCTGAGGACGCGAGTAATTTGAGGTCTTCTCCGACTCTAAGAACAATTGGAGGTCGCTCAGTTTCCAGAAAATCAACAAGCTGTTGTTGAAAAAGCCAATCAATGACCAGTTGGAATCCAGCCAGGAGTGGCGTGCCAAGAATAAGCGGTACAGACTGGTTGTAACATCGGACAGTGAAGGAGATATTTCGTTTGAAAACACCTTTTTTAGAGATCTGCTTTTGCATAATATTTTATTTTCGTGATATTTTCACAACAATGAAAACAAAGTTCAGAGAACAATTGTACCCAACGAGATCGTCTCTACGGGGATATTGTCCAAACCCCCACCCCCCTCCCTCCACCGACAAGAAATGATGTAAACTCTGAGCACTTCGGAGTAAGTGATATTTTTGATGAGCCTTCGGATTGTTTTCAAGTTAAAGGATTTTAAATTACAATTTTATGAAAAACTAAGGTAGTTCTCTTATTTCAGTGTGCATCCTCGCGCGCCTGCCAGTCGCTGGCGCCGCTTGCTGAAACTAAAACGAAAAAAAAAAAGCTCTTTTAAGATAATCATTGGCTTCTTTTTCACCCCGCCACTATTCTTAGCAATAGAAGTCGCCATTTCGTTTATTTATTACTCCCCAAAAACTATCAAATGCACTCAAAAGCCTAAAATTGAAAAAAGGTTTTCAGGAATCGACCAATCGAGCGAGCGAGCGAGTGCCATTCTCCACATCATATCTACAACTTGCTCTTGGGAATGCGCGCAATTTACGAGTTTAAAAAAGAAAGGATATAAAAGCTTAAAATCGAAAAAAGGTTTACAGGAAACGACCAATCGAGCGACAGAGTGCCATTCTCCACACCATATCTACAACTCACTCTTGCACATGCGCGCAATTCACGAGTTAAAAAAGGAAAGGAGGCCTGGAACTGACGGCTACGCAATTCATACTTCCTCCGTGGGAAGTGGATAGTGAAAAGTATGACTGACAATAAGAAAGGATCGGTAGAATACTATCAATGGAGTGACAAAAATATAATTCTCCAAACCCCCTCCTACTCCCCCCCCCCCCCGTACTTCAAACTCAGGAAAGGTACAAGGTATTTCTATTTTAAACTTAACCACTAGGTCTTGATCTAGGGACTAGAATCTCTTGGTCATGATGCAGTACCTCTAGCAAAACTCCAGTAAATCATTATTCATCATTACAGCTTTTCCTTGTATTTTTCTACTGTGATTACGCTGAAAGTAATGCTACTGAATATTTACATTGAGTTTTCCTTCTACCATTCTGTTTTAAACTTTATCAAATGTTTACACATGCGCTCACATCTGACCACTGTGTTTTGACACTTACAGGTTGCTACTACGTATCATCTTCAAGATCCCCTTTGGACTCCTATGAACATCAGAACTATTGTTTGAGTAGCCATCGTACAACGTCATGTAGTATATGCATACGATCCGTAGTGGCGCCTACCTGGAAATTCAAATGTCTTTTCCAGGTTCTTAACATGTTGGTTATATATAACATTTTCATTAGTTTCAGGCGCAATATAAGTAAAGAAATTATTACTATTATTATTTTTATAATAAGTTTTTGAAAACAGTAGAGTTTTGCTCTGGTCAGAGGGTTATAACCATGATCAAAAAGTTGCAGTAAATAAACAGGAACAAAAAATCAAATGCCGGAAGTGAATGGAAAATGAAGAGGGTGATCGCTGACAAGCCGATGAAAGCAGCTTTGTAGGCTCGCTTCCTCCTGGTACAAGTGCGGAGCATCTCTTCTGCCAACTCTGGTGTCCAGTCTTTTGTAGGATTCAAGATATCTTTCACTTTTTCGAGTTTCTTGGGTTCAATAGATTCGACGATGCGAGAGTGCTGTGGAGGAAAGTCTGTTGAGAGAGAGGGGAGGGAAAGATTTAGGTACTGAAAAACAGGCTCTATGTTATATTTTCAGGTAACATTGATAACCCTGAAAGGCATTTGTAGTATTGGAAAGCGCAAGTTAGATAGTATGCTAGGCTAATAAAGGCGGTAAGGGGGGGGGGGGAGAGAGCTTTTAATAGCTTTTACTCTGAATCCCAATACCTGGTTAACAAAAAAAAAAGAGGAAAACAAGGCTTTTCATTTGTAGCATGAATATAACACAATCAACATAAGCAACTGAGGAGATATTTACTCCTCACCAACCTTCCGCGGTATCAATGTAGTCCTCATCCTCTGGCTCAACAACATCATCCACAGGATAAGTAGCGCGGTTTGTTACTAAATCTTCACCTTTGATCTTTCCTATAAAATAAAATGATACAACAAGAAAATCTCAATTAAGATTTATAGAATGTGTTTTAGTATTTGCGCAAAAGCTTAATACAACTACAAATCGTAACCAATGAAATATCAAAAGAGCCACCCGTGAGAGACGCCAAACGCGGCAAACCGCGTGCGATTCAATTAAATGCACTAGCTTCCAAAGCCAATGACGCATATTATCACAGCATGAAATTATAAATTTACGAATCTGTAAAGATGCCGCAAAGTAAGCGATAAGATCCTCTTTACGCGTCTTTACGAACTTCTTTACACTTTCGTAAAGATTATCTTTACGCATTGAAAACGATAGTGCGTAAAGATCACGGGGAGACTAAAAACGCTATCTTTACGTGCCTTGTAAAAAGTCGTATAGAGAATATTTACGATATTTTACAGCGACCGTATTATTATTATTACTATTAAAGACCTGTAAAGTGTTAAAAGCGAAACTGGTCAAAATACCACGGTAATTCTACGGAAGATGGATGAGCAATAATTATTTCACTTCTTTGAGTATTTCTCTAAATAGAAAGTGGTTAATTATATCCATCTTATTCCTTATCCTTAACGAACATTCACTATCCTTTACGCAGTCTTTACGCTTTCCCTGCATTTACGCATCTTTACGGAACGCGGAACTTGTCCGTAAAGAAGAGGCTTTACATTTACGTTCTTTACGCAAGAGTTAAAGATGCGTAAATTTGCGATTTCATGCTGTGGTTGTAGCAACACAAAACTGCATGAATTCAGAAGTGCATCCGACGCTGCTTTTATTATCTTATATTATTATAGTTGTGCCCTTCCAATTAAAATGGCGCCGAAGCCACGTGCGAAGTATACTCTCTCACTAAATTAATGAACTACTTGTAACAGTATATTGCGTCTAGAATTAACGGAACTCACTTTGCCTCGCAGTTCTCATCTTTTCGATAAACGATCTTCCAGTGGAGACTTTGTCCTCAATTGCTTCACACAAAGCTTTAAGTAAGGGGACTACTACTTTCCCTTCGTTTTCCAAATCTGCAAAGCAAGCATTTTATTTTGCATTTATCCAGACGCAGTATGTTATCAATTACAAATAAAACTGACCAAAAGCAACTTCCTGTTTCCTCTTCCTCTCCCCCATTCCGCCCTTTCTCCGCTTAATCCAGGCTTTCAAAACTATTGTCTCATTCACACTCAAGTAAAACAAAATCATATCCTCATCTCACCTGAAAAATGTAACTCCTCCTCTTTCTCTCTATGTTTTATATCTTTACACACTGCAATCAAAAGAATAGTGAAACTTTTCAAACAGCTGTGTTACTTGTCTTAGGGATGAGGTACTTAACAAAAATTTCCCTAAAGAAAGATATAATTTTCTTACTGCGAGCAGCAGAGGCCTCTTTTTCTATCAATAAAACGTAAACTTAGTCGAGAGAACATAAACTCGTCTTCTCTTAATCCTGAGCCAACCTAATAACTCAGATTGAGTGCATGAACGTTCGGCTTCAGAATCAGTCAGGAACTGCAGTTTTAATTTGGAACAACTAAGCTGTTCTTTCCGTCTGCCAGGGCCTGTAATTTGGACTTTTGAACAGCCACATTTTCACCTTATTGATTTAGTCAGCGAAATAATCGTGCGACGATCAATTATCGCATAAAGTATACAAACACCCTTTTTTTAACCACTAAAAATCGTAAGGTTGCGTCGTTCCAAAGTCAAATTCAGTTCGGCTTACAAAGAGACTTTCGAGTACTGTTGCATATTGTACCACTGGGGTCGGCAATTTCGAACGTCAACAAAGATTAAAACATCGATGAAAATGGAAATAACACGTGATGTTGAGCTTATTGCTCAACAAGTGTCAATCACGTGTTATTTCTATTTTCACCGATGTTGTAATCTTAGGTGAGTTCGAAGGGGGTTTTTCTGAATAATTAACTTATCGGTGATGTGCCAATATCGATATCAAAAACATACTTTCTACCGTTCAGCCATTAATTTCGTTTTGCGGTTGTCAAAAACAAATAACATCTTCTGAACAATAGTTCTTTGCTATTCTTACATCTTTCATAATTTAAAACGCTGTCCTTACGCGTTGGAAATGAGAAAACAAATAACAAAGTTGGACATGAACATGACTTGAAATGACAAAAGTGGGTGTCAATGTCATAGTCATTTATTCCCCGTTTTGATTTCCATTATAGCAAAGTTGGCCTCTATACCAAAACAACCTCTCTCAGAACTATTGTCCCTTTCGTACTGAAAAATAGTTATCTTCTTGGATATCCAACTACAAAATTCATTATTTGATTCAGAGTTCGTTGACGTTCTAAAATGCAACCATTGCCCGTACGTAAATATGGAACAACACATGCACTTGTCGTTACTTATGTATATTGGTCAACAGACTGATGTTAATTTTGTTGCGCGCTAAAGATAGGCAATTTATAACCGATAATTAATCTGCATTCAGAAGAGAATTAGAAGGAAAAATTTCGAAAACAGAGAACTGGATAACATGATATAGAGCAAGACCCCAAAATATCGTAATTGTCGAAGATAACAACAAATATAACAAGAATCATGTAAGTCGTGCATTACAAATTGCCCATGACGTCAATATTTCGAAGTAAAATTATTCATTGCGAAGGTAAAGGAATCATGAATTTCGGGACCACAATATCTCACCAAATGATAAACGTTCAAACTCGGCCTGCAATCACAAATCTTCTACGTACCACAACATTTTATAGATCCGTGGAGATGCTCATACAAAGAGGAATGTTTTGACTGCAGGGCATGTATCAAATACCAATACGTGTGGGGGTCTTTTTGCTCCACTACAGCGAGTAGCTCCGTCACTTTTCTCTCCATAGTTGTAAACAGGTTACTGTTGAAAATTCTTTCGTGATCTTGCGTGTCGAACTTGTGATGCGCCCTCATAAATCGCACGATGTAAAACAACTGATCTTCGTTTCGAATCATCTCTGGGAAACGAATCAAAAACTCGTCCAGGCCTTCTCGAGAAATTTGAAGGTATTTTTCGATGCGTTTCGACGCTCCTGGACTAAACTGGTTTTCGTCGTGGAGGAATCTTTCGCACTCCTCCAGGTTGAAATGATTCGGCATGGCTTAGTACGATTGTCTTCACTTCAGTGTTCTACAGTTGTGGTATCTACTGCGCAACAACTTTTGCTGTAGTTATGTACTCAGCTTTGCCAGTGAAAAATGCCCAAATAACGACCATAAATTCCGCAATACCGAAATAGGAAATGAATGAAATAAACGATATGTCGATTAAAATTTTTTCTGCGGTATCCGGAAATGAAGCGGAGAACCTCCTATCGCATTTTAATTCAGTAGAGCCGTCGATCCAATTCACCCTAGAGCGTGAAAAAGATAGACATTTTCCCTTTCTTGATTTAAATGTGTCCAGAGGGGTTCAGGGTAATTTAGAGACAAGTGTCTACCATAAACCTACCCCTACCGACAAATACCTCGCTTTCCACTCTATTTGCCATAAAAAAAGTCTGTAGCCAAAACCTTACTCAGGAGGGCTGACTGTCTACCATCTTCACTCGATTCAAAGGCTGAGGAGAGGAAATATGCTAATAATGTCCTAAAAGCAAATGGCTATACAAAAACCTTTCTCCGTAACTGCCAAAATCCAGTTACAACTAGTAAATCTCTTGATGAAAGGGAACCAGCGACTGGTTTTGCTGTCATTCCTTACATTCAGGGTGTTACAGACCCCATCAAGAGAATTTTGAATAGCCAGAACGCTAAAGTTGTTCAATAACCTTTTCAGACTTTGGGGCATATTTTCGTCAAACCTAAGGATCCTGACACGAAAGAACAACGAACCGATGCCATTTATTCTATTCCTTGCAATGACTGTGACAACGAATACATCGGACAGACCAAACGTCAGTTTGGTACACGTTTGAAAGAGCATCAAAATGCGTTTTTCTTTTACAAAAAGAAAAATTCAGCTTTATCGGAGCACACATGCCAAACTAACTATGCAATTGGATGGGATAATTCTAAAATTATCACCACTAATTGACGTTACCACCAACGCGTTTGTTTGGAGGCTTGGCATATTAATTCTGCCCACGCTCCAAGAAATCATTTGAAACATGCAGGATTTCGAACACGCTCGACTGCCCAGAAGATAATAACATCTATACCAATGACATACCTGAACTAGCCGACAATGAAATGGCCTTGGACGACAAGTTTGAGACCGATAGCAAAGAAGAAGACGAATAAACACTTCATTCTTGAAGTTATCACTAAATACGACGGCTGCTTTAGGAGTCATCACTTAAATAAAAGTCATTGACAAACAATGATTTAGCGTAGGACTAGTAATTTGTATTTGTTGATGATCGCTCGGCTGATAGCCGAATAAACACTCGATTTACGGTATTTGTGCGTATTTCAGCTTATCATATAATGTATGGTAGTCTCCTGCATTTATTCCAAGGCTTCGGCTTTGTTTTAGAATAGCATGGGGTTATAGGCTTGGAAAGTCAATCCAAAATACCGGCGAACAATTGCTGTAACCTTTACAAGAGAATCATAATATCAGACGACTCAACAAAAATAATCAACCATACAGGAATAAGAAAAAATTCTACATCAGTTTTATTCGCTGCGCTCTATAAAAGAGATGCATGCATGGTGATCGATGGAATTTTAAGCTATCTAATCATATAGAAACATGACTTAAATAATGATTGTAACAACCATTGGCAAAATGTTAAAAACTCTTGGCATTAAGTGGTGATTTGTGTTTGATTTAAGGCATTGACTTTGGTAATAATCAATTAACGTTGTCTTGCTCCACTCTTTTGTAGATATCAAAGATCTCTGAAAAACATGATCAAAGGAAAATGAGGAACACCAGGATGCAAAAATGTAAAATTGTAAATATGTACAAAGGATTTGCAATTCCGGACGTTTGAGGAGATATGCTACAAAGTATTGTCTTAAGGGACCGTCGTCAAACAAAGTCGCTCGTAAGTTCAGCCGCTGGCGAGTGTCTTTGCGGTCGTTTCTCTCTTACAGAGCTCACCAAACAAGCCATGCTTCCGTTGCTGTTAGGTGTTGAGCTCAAGAGTGATGGAGTGGATCCGCCAAACAGAAGGGATGAAGAACGACCCAGATGCCTGTTTCCAGCCTCCGTGTTGGCGGTTTCATCTGTTAAAGCTGACCATAAAGTTTACGTATCTCCTCCTGAAAACCAACAGGTGACAATTTGGATCAATGTCAGTAACTGAATAACTGCGCACCTATCCCTCCCCTGACCCAAAATTAGCCCCGACTTGTTATCAGTAGATAGTTGTCTGGTTAGGGTAGGGGTAGGGGGCGCAGTTGCGTAGATACTGACATTGATCCGACAATAATTTAAATAAAAAGGGATTTTATTTTAAGTTGAGTTATTCATTGTAAGTTTGAGTAGGTTGCTTCCGTTGTTGTTAGGTGTTGAGCTCAAGAGTGATGAAGTGGATCCGCCAAACAGAAGGGATGAGGAACGACCCAGATGCCTGTTTCCAGCCTCCATGTTGGCGGTTTTCATCTGTTAAAGCTGACCATAAAGTTTACGTATCTCCTCCTGAAAACCAACAGGTGATAATTTGGATCAATGTCAGTAACTGAATAACTGCCCACCTACCCCTCCCCTGACCCAAAACTAGCTCCGACTTGTTATCAGTTGATAGTTGTCTGGTTAGGGTAGGGGTAGGGGTAGGGGGCGCAGTTGCGTCGAAACTGACATTGATCCGACGATAATTTAAATAAAAAGGGATTTTATTTTAAGCTGAGTTATTCATTGTAAGTTTGAATAGGTTGATTGACGCCCCTTAAGGCTCTTAAGTCACAGTTTGAGAATATTTGATCAATAACTTCTTATTTGACCACTTCCCCAAAATGGCTCTTCAGGGCCAATCGTGATAAGCAAAAGCAACAAACATTACAAATAACATAAGTTCTTCTCGAATTCCTCGAGGTTTCGCAACATTGTAAACTTAGCCTGTAAATTTTTTGGTATAGTTACGATCTTCACATTCTTTCGACCTCAGTAACCGTTTGGAATACCTTGACGTTTTTCATAACCCACGATTAAGGAGTTAGTTTTAAAATTTGAAAGCAGATCATTCTATCAGAGCACTTCTAGACTTCTAGTTTCCAGTTCCCTGAAAAAAGCGTTCTAAGTTATTCTAAAAGTTTTGTTAGCGACGAACCTCCAATTTCCCAGACCTAGTTTTCCCACCACCTGTGCGAACCCTGTAGAAGGTTGATAAACTGGAAACTTCTTACCAGTCATTTTAGCGCTGCTGTTTGTCAAGGGAGGTGGAATAAACCATGGAAATGATTTTTACTTCTATTTATACTTTGTGAGCTCACAATAATTTGGAAAGATGACTTAAATAAAGACTTACATTAAGGTCTTCATTTTCTTGGTTCAAGTTCACCGTCCCTTCAGAGGACTGTCCGGTTGCCATAAAAATTTGAAGAAATTTAGATTTTCATTTAAAACGAAATCGCATTTGTTATTATTAGTAGTCAAACTTCCGGTCCTCCAGGAGATTTTTTACGTTTTCTTTAAATATCTGAGGATGCGAGCAATGTGAGGTCGTCTACGACTCTAGGAACAATTGGAGGTCGCTCAGTTTCCAGAAAGTCAACAAGCTGTTGTTGAAAAAGCCAATCAAATACCCAGTTGGAATTCAGCCAGGAGTGGCGTGGCAAGATTAAGCGGTACAGGCTGGTTGTAATATCGGACAGTGAAGGAGATATGTTGTCTGAAAACACAATTTTAGAGGTCTACTGTTGAGTAATATTTTATTTTCGTGATGTTTTAACAACAAAGAAAACAAAGTTCAGAGAATAATTGCACCCAACGAGATCGTCTCTGCGGATACTGTGCGTTTTTCTTGGGAAGATCTATCAACGTAAGACAGAGAGGTGTGGTTAAGGAGGCTTTTAATCTCTCAGCAGGAGTGTAAGTCCACATGAAATCCACACGTAATTAACTCTGACAAGGCCTGTGGTGGCTATTACTTCTGACGACTTCTTTCCTCGTTTTTTCTTGATCCACATCTTAATAAACCGGGCCGTTACAAAACAGGGCACGACGTGATAGCATTGAGGGAAAAAAAAAGGAAAGGAGGCCTGGAACTGACGGCTACCCAATTCATACTTCCGTGGGAAGTGGATAGTGAAAAGTATAACTGACAATGAGAAAGGATCGGTAGAGTACTATGGAGTGACAAAAATATAAATCTCCAACCCCCCCTCCCCCCCCCCTCCCAAAAACAACAAATGATGACCGGTCCGCCCTGGCTAATCCTATTTAGCATGCAATATTTCTTAATTTGAAGGGGAAAAGCACAAGTAATTCAAAATATCAGTTTCATAACAGATTTTATTTACTTTAAACTCAGGAAAGATACAAGGTATTTTTATTTCAAACTTAGCCACTAAATCTTGATCAAGAGACTATAATCTCTTGGTCATGATGCATTAATTCTGGCGAAACTTCAGTCAACCCTTAATGAACACTTACAGTTTTTCCTTGTATTTTTCTACTGCGGGCCTTCGGCAGGTGATTACGCTTAAGTCATGCTACTGAATATTTACATTAAGTTTTCCTTCTACCATTCTGTTTTGAACTTTATCAAACGTTTACACATGCGCAGACGTCTGACCACTGTGTTTTGACACTTACAGGTTGCTACTACGTATCATCTTCAAGATCCTATTTGGACTTTGGACTTCGGACTCCTGTGAACATCAGAGCTATTGTTTGAGTAGCCATCGTGCTACGTCATATAGTATATGCATACGATCCATAGGGGCGCCTACCTTGAAATTCAAATGTCTTTTCCAGGTTCTTAAACTTTTGGTTATATAAGAAATTTTCATTAGTTTCACGGCAGTTTTTGAAAACATTAGAGTTTTGCTTTGGTCAGAGGGTTATAACCATGATCAAAAAGTTGCAGTAAATAAACAGGAACAAAAAATCAAATGCCGGAAGTGAATGGAAAATGAAGAGGGTGATCGCTGACAAGCCGATGAAAGCAGCTTTGTAGGCTCGCTTCCTCCTGGTACAAGTGCGGAGCATCTCTTCTGCCAACTCTGGTGTCCAGTCTTTTGTAGGATTCAAGATATCTTTAACTTTTTCGAGTTTCTTGGGTTCAATAGACTCGACGATGCGAGAGTGCTGTGGAGGAAAGTCTGTTGAGAGAGAGGAGGGAAAGATTTAGAAACTGAAAAACAGGCTCTATGTTATATTTGCAGGTAACATTGATAACCCTGAATGGCAGTTGTAGTATTGAAATTATGAATTTACGAATCCGTAAAGATGCCGTAAAGTAAGCGTTAAGATCCTCTTTACGCGTCTTTACGAACTTCTTTACACTTTCGTAAAGATTGTCTTTACGCATTGAAAACGGTAGTACGTAAAGATCACGTAAAGATTAGGAAGAGAGAAGTCATATGGAGAATATTTACGATATTTTACGGCGACTGTATTATTTTTATTGCTATCAAAGACGCGTAAAGTGTAAAAGCGAAGCTGGTCAAAATACCACGGTAATTCTACGGAAGATGGATGATCCATAATCATTTCACTTCTTTGAGTATTTCTCCAAATAGAAAGTGGTTAATTATATCCATCTTGATCCTTATCCTTTTACGAACATTGAATATCCCTTACGCAGTCTTTACGCTTTCCCTGCATTTACGCATCTTTACGGAACGCGGAACTTGTCCTTAAAGAAGAGGCTTCATATCTACGTTCTTTACGCAAGAGTTAAAGATGCGTAAATTTGCGATTTTATGCTGCGATTATAACAATACAAAACTGCATGAATTCAGGAGTGCGTCCGACGCTACTTTTATTATCTTATGTTATCATAGTTGTACCCTTCCAATCAAAATGACGCCGAAGCCACGTGTACTCTCACACTAAATTGCAAATGAACTATTTGTAACAGTATATTGCGTTTAGAATTGACGGAACTCACTTTGCCTCGCAGTTCTCATCTTTTCGATGAACGATCTTCCAGTGGAGACTTTGTCCTCAAATGCTTCACACAAAGCTTTAAGTAAGGGGACTACTACTTTCCCTTCATTTTCCAAATCTGCAAAGCAAGTATTTCATTTTGTATCTATCCAGACGCAGTATGTTATCAATTACAAATGAAACCGACCATAAGCAGCTCACAGTTTCTTCTTCCTCTCCCCCATTCCGCCCTTTCTCCGCTTAATCCGGGCTTTCAAAACTACTGTCTCACTCGCGCTTAAGTAAAATAAAATCATATTCTCATCTCACCTGAAAAATGTAACTCCTCCTCTTTCTCTCTATGTTTTATATCTTTACACACTGCAATCAAAAGAATAGTGAAACTTTTCAAACAGCTGTGTTACTTGTCTTAGGGATGAGGTACTTAACAAAAATTTCCCTGCAGTGAAGGATATCATTCTCTTACAGCTAGCAGCAGAGGCCTTTTTTCTATCAATAGGACGTAAGCCTAGTCGAGAGAAACATAAACTCGTGTTTTCTTAATCCTGAGCCAACCTAATAACTCAGATTGAGTGTATGAACTTTCAACTTCAGAATCAGTCAGGAATTGCAGTTTTAATTTGGAACAACTAAACTGTTCTTTCCGTCTGCCAGGGCCTGTAATTTCGTTTTTCGAACGGCCGCTTTTTCACGTCATTGATTTCCTCAGCGAATCAATCGTGCGACGATCAATTATCGCATGAAGTATTAAAACGCATTTTTTTAAACCACTAAAAATCGTTAGGTTGCGTCGTTCCAAAGTCAAATTCAGTTCGGCTTACAAAAAACGAACCTTCTTGGAGACTTTCGAGTACTGTTGCATATTGCACCACTGGGATCGGCAATTTCAAACGTCAACAAAGATTACAACATCGATGAAAATAGAAATAACACGTGATGTTTAGCTTATTGCTTAACATCAAGTGTTATTTCTATTTTTATCGATGTTGTAATCTTTGGTGAGTTTGAAGGGGGTTTTTCTAAATAATTAACTTATCAGTGATGTGCCAATATCGATATCAAAAACATGCTTTTACCTTTCAGCCATTAATTACGTTTTGCGGTCTTCAAAAAGAAATAACTTCTTCTGAATAATAGTTCTTTGCTATTCTTACATCTTTCATGATTTAAAACGCTGTCCTTATGGGTTGAAAATGAGAAAACAAATAACAAAGTTGGACATGAACATGACTTGAAATGACAAAAGTGGCTGTCCATGTCTTAGTCATTTATTCCCCGTTTTGATTTCTATGTTACTGAAGTTGGCCTCTATACCAAAACAACCTCTCTCAGAACTGTCATCCCTTTCGCACAGAAAAATAGTTATCTTCTTGGATATCCAACAACAAAATTCATTATTTGATTCAGAGTTCGTTGACGTTCTAAAATGCAACCATTTCCCATGCGTAAATACAGAACAACACATGTACTTTTCGTTACTTATGGATATTGGTCAACAGATTGATGTTAATTTTGCTCCGTGCTACAGATAGGCATTTATGACCGATAATTAATCTCCATTCAGAAGAGAACTAGAAGGAAAAATTTCGAAAACAGGGAACTGGATAACATGATATAGAGCAAGACTCCGAAATGTCGTAATTGTTGAAGATAACAACAAAAATAACAAGAATCACGTAAGTCGAGCATTACAAATTGCCCATGCATGACGTCACTATTTCGAAGTAAAATTATTCATTGCAAAGGTAAGGGAATCATGAATTTCGGGACCAAAATATCTCACCAAAGGATAAACGTTCAAACTCGGCCCGCAATCACAAATCTTCTACGTACTACAACATTTTATAGATCCGTGGAGATGCTCATACAAAGAGGAATGTTTTGACTGCAGGGCATGTATCAAATACCAATACGTGTGGGGGTCTTTTTGCTCCACAACAGCGAGTAGCTCCGTCACTTTTCTCTCCATAGTTGTAAACAGGTTACTGTTGAAAATTCTTTCGTGATCTTGCGTGTCGAACTTGTGATGCGCCCTCATAAATCGCACGATATAAAACAATTGATCCTCATTTCGAATCATCTTTGGGAATCGAATCAAAAACTCGTCTAGGCCTTCTCGAGAAATTTGAAGGTATTTTTCGATGCGTTTCGACGCTCCTGGACTAAACTGGTTTTCGTCGTGGAGGAATCGTTCACACTCCTCCAGGTTGAAATGATTCGGCATGGCTTAACACGATTGTCTTCACTTCAGTGTCCCGGTGTTTCACAAATTTCTAAAAATTTCGGAAAGTCCGCAGAAACTTTAAAGATACCGAAGTGTGTGGGGGAAGGCAGATTTTGAAATATCGAAAAAAATAACGCTAGTCATTTGACCCGGATATGACCTGCAGTTAAACTAATCAATCGGCTGGAATTTTAATATTCACCCACCAACTTCTCCATGAATGGACGTTTTCCTCTTTATTATGCGCCGGGATCATTCCTAAGCCAAAATTTTCGTCATTTTGACCCTACATTGGCTGGACCGATCTTTGATCAAGCGAGACCCAGCGGAATTTTGCTTAAGCGGTCCGATAGTTCAGCAAGTGTGGTAAGTGAGAGCGATAGCTCGACCAGCTTCAGGCCAGCTGAAGGTTTGGTAGAAAAAGAAAAAAATACGCCAAATGGCCGCAAGAAGAGCAAAGGGCTCAAGTAATGAATATTAAACCATGATTCGGCTGGGCGAGGAACGGCCCACGTGTAAGGCGCAACACGAATTCTACATAAATGCCGCCGTCTTCTTAGAAAAGCGACATTCAGGATTTACATGTATTCATTTACCCATCTCTGGTACTGGATGAAAAGGCAAACATTTGCTGCTGTTGCATGTCGATAATTCGTAGAAGTAGAATGGCAAAAGCAAAGCAAAATGCCTGATTTGGGCTCATGTTTATTACCGCACAATACGCGCCAGAAATGAAATCTGATCAACTGTGTTTATTTTTAGGTATTTGTGGTTTGAACAGTAGTGCGACCTGTCCCTTATCAGCTGAGGAAATCCACCCCCAGATACGTAATTCTACATAAATGCCGCCGTCTTCTTAGAAAAGCGACATTCAGGATTTACATGTATTCATTTACCCATCTCTGGTACTGGATGAAAAGGCAAACATTTGCTGCTGTTGCATGTCGATAATTTGTAGAAGTAGAATGGCAAAAGCAAAGCAAAATGCCTGATTTGGGCTCATGTTTATTACCGCACAATACGCGCCAGAAATGAAATCTGATCAACTGTGTTTATTTTTAGGTATTTGTGGTTTGAACAGTAGTGCGACCTGTCCCTTGTCAGCTGAGGAAATCCACCCCCAGATACGTAATTCCGTTTGGGGTTCAAGATTCACGCACGTTCCACAACGATTTGTAAGCACTAATTTCGTATTTAACATGGCTTTTCTCGACAACCATGCTGCTAAATTCCTAGCGGCTTAAACACCGCGCAAATATCTAGTTTCATACATCACTGCTCGCAGAACTAACTTGATTACTCTATGCCGCTCCCAATTACATGTTACTTCTAATTGTAACGTTGACTCTGTACTTTAACGGTAACGAAATTACAACTCACTTAATACACAATTAAATTCAAAATAAATCTAGGAAATTAATTTTCGCGTGGAAACTTAACACTCTCCCCCTTTGACTCGTCTACGAGTCAAACCTAACCCGGTTAGTAGAAGAAAAGTACAAAACACGTGAGATTTTCTTTTCTTGCATACTAATTTAATCCCTAATGTTTTTCTCGTATGCTATTTTCTAACGTTCACAAAAGCATAATTGTTATAAACTCTCTTGACACACGCTTTTCCAAGAATGCTTTTGAAGCCGTTCAAAAAACTCACAGCACGTGTTTTATCGGGTCAAAAACCACTCGGCTACGCCTCGTGGTTTTACACCCGATAAAACACTCCTGCTCGTTTTTTAAACATTACCTAACTAACGGCGTAAAATATTACAGTATATAATATACCGACTAGAAGAAATTACGCCGTTAGTTACTGGCGTAAAATCTTACATATAGACACAACCGACTGGAAGAAATTACGCCGTTAGTTACTGGCGTAAAATCTTACATATAGACACAACCGACTGGAAGAAATTACGCCGTTAGTTACTGGCGTAAAAGCTTACATATCAATACTACCGACTGGGAGAAATTACGCCGTTAGTTATAAAAACAACCGACCGGAAGAATTACGCCGTTACTTACTGGCGTAAAATCTTACATATATGTACATCACCGACTGGAAGAAATTACGCCGTTAGTTACTGGCGTAAAATCTTCCATATAAACACAACCGACTGGAAGAAATTACGCCGTTAGTTACTGGCGTAAAATCTTCCATATAAACACAACCGACTAGGAGAAATTACGCCGTTAGTTACTGGCGTAAAATCTTACATATAAAGGCTAACGATGGGGTCAGAACCTCTTCGTCTACTTCTTGTGACGCGTCATACGCCACTCTCAGTTTGATTGTGCTGGCTTCTTTGCGTATGATCGCCAAATGTGGGATGCAATGAGCTCCATTCGTCTTTCCAGACACTCTTTCTATTACTCCTGAAGCTAACTGTTCTTTGATAACTGAGTCGTACTCTCTCAACACCCCTGGCTCCTCTCTAGGCTTTTTGACATGACCTATCATACGTGACAAACTCATATCGTAATTACTATCTAAGACGTCACGCCCCTCCATCCATGGCAGCTTGATGGAATACCGATTTCCGTTAAACATGATGTTGTCTACAAATTCCTTGTACACTCTGTCATCCTCCGTTATCCCTGACGTTTCTAAGTCCCAAAGAGCCTGACCAGTAACCTTGGACTGTATACTTTCTCTTGATTCAGGCTTTATTGACGACAATTCAGCATTACAAGTTCCGTTCTGCGATCTATCTACTCTATTACAATCTAATCCTAGGGTTACAAAAATGTTACATTTATTAGCTCATGAAAACCAAACTCAGATACGTAATTCCGTGTTGGATTTACGTTCTACAACGATTCGTGGGCACTAATTTCCTATTATACATGGCTTTTCTTGACAATCATGCTGCTAAGTTCTTACGCGCTTAAACCCCCTAGTTTCATACATCACTGCGCGCAGAACTAATTTGATTACCCTATGCCGCTCCCAATTACATGTTACTTCTAATTGTAACGTTGACTCTGTACTTTAACGGTAACGAGATTACAACTCACTTAATACACAATTAAATTCATAATAAATCATGGAAATCAATTTTTGCGTGGAAACATTTCACAACACTGCTATGCAACGACTGTTTCGTATTTCAGCTCATCAAACACGAGCATTGTCTTGAGGAGCCGTCGTCAAACAAAGTCGCTCGTAAGTTCAGCCGCTGGCGAGTGTCTTTGCGGTCGTTTCTCTCTAACAGAGCTCACCAAACAAGCCATGCTTCCGTTGTTGTTAGGTGTTGAGCTCAAGAGTGATGGAGTGGATCCGCCAAACAGAAGGGATGAAGAACGACCCAGATGCCTGTTTCCAGCCTCCATGTTGGCGGTTTTCATCTGTTGAAGCTGACCATAAAGTTTACGTATCTCCTCCTAAAAATCAAACGATGACAGCTTGGATCAATGTCAGTATCTGAATAGCTGCGCACCCCCTCCCCTGACCCAAAATTAGCCCTGACTTGTTATCAGTTGATAGTTGTTTGATTAGGGTAGGGGTAGGGGTAGGGGACGCAGTTGCTTAGATACTGACATTGATCCGACGATAATTTAGATAAAAAGGGATTTTATTTCAAGCTGAGTTATTCATTGCAAGTTTGAGTAGGTTGATTGACGCCCCTTAAGGCTCTTAAGTCACAGTTTGAGAATATTTGATCAATAATTTCTTATTTGACCATTTTCCCAAAATGGCTCTTCAGGGCCAATCGTGATAAGCAAAAGCAACAAAGATTACAAATAACATAAGTTCTTTTCGAATTGAAACTATTATCATTAGCCTCTTTCTCACCCCACCACTATTCTTAGCAACAGAAGTCGCCATTTCGTTTGTTTATTACTCGCCAAAAACTATTAAATGCACTCAAAAGCCTAAAATCGGAAAAAATGTTTTTACAGGAATCGACCAATCGAGCGAGTGAGTGCCATTCTCCACATCATATCTACAACTCACTCTTGCGTATGCGCGCAATTCACGAGTTAAAAAAGGAAAGGAGGCCTGGAACTGACGGCTACGCAATTCATACTTCCTCCGTGGGAAGTGGATAGTGAAAAGTACGACTGACAATAAGAAAGGATCGGTAGAATACTATCAATGGAGTGACAAAAATATAATTCTCCGAACCCCCTCCTACCCCCCCGTCCAGACAACAAATGATGACCGGTCCGCCCTGGCTTATCTTATTTAGCATGCAATATTTCTTAATTTGAAGGGAAAAACACAAGTAATTCAAAATATCAGTTTCGTAACAGAGTTTATTTACTTCAAACTCAAGAAAGGTAAAAGGTATTTTTATTTCAAACTTAGCCACTAGATCTTGATCTAGGGACTATAATCTCTTGGTCATGATGCAGTTCCCCTAGCAAAACTCCAGTCAACCCTTATTGACCACTTATAAATTGACCACAAGTAAATTATTATTCATCATTACAGTTTTTCCTTGTATTTTTTTACTGTGGACCTTCAGCAGGTGATTACGCTGAAAGTCATGCTACTGAATATTTACATTGAGTTTTCCTTCTACCATTCTGTTTTAAACTTTATCAAATGTTTACACATGCGCAGACGTCTGACCACTGTGTTTTGACACTTACAGGTTGCTACTACGAATCATCTTCAAGATCCCCTTTGGACTCCATCGTACAACGTCATGTAGTATATGCATACGATCCGTAGTGGCGCCTACCTGGAAATTCAAATGTCTTTTCCAGGTTCTTAACATTTTGGTTCTATATAACATTTTCATTAGTTTCACCCGCAATATAAGTAAATGAATAATTATTATTATTATTATTATTATTATTATTATTATTATTATTAGTTTCACGGCAATTTTTGAAAACAATAGAGTTTTGCTCTGGTCAGAGGGTTATAACCATGATCAAAAAGTTGCAGTAAATAAACAGGAACAAAAAATCAAATGCCGGAAGTGAATGGAAAATGAAGAGGGTGATCGCTGACAAGCCGATGAAAGCAGCTTTGTAGGCTCGCTTCCTTC